CCCCATACACACACACTGCTCCCCCATACACACATACTGCTCCCCCATACACACATACTGCTCCCCCATACACACACACTCTACACACATACACTATCCCCATAAACACACACTGCTCCCCAAACACTGCCACCCCATACACACACATTGCAACTGTTACACACACATACTGTCCCACACATACACTGCACACACACACTGCAACTGTTACACACACATACTGTCCCACACATACACTGCATCCCTGACATACACTGCCGCCCTCACTCACACACTACAACCTTCAAACACACACACTGCTCACACACTGTCCCCCTCACACACACACACACACACACACACACACATTGCACCACTCACACACACCACTGCTCCTATGCCCTACTATAGCCCCATTTCCCAGCAGACCTCAGGTAAGTTGTCAAACTGTTCTTAAATGGTTTGACTACTTACTCTGGGAGGGGGTCCCAGCACTATTGACATCATAACCACTACACTGAGCTGTAGTGGTTATTGTGTCTGGATTATTTCTTTCAATAATCAACAAGTGCCCCTCCCGAGATCAGGCTCTGGATCAGCCACTGCTCAGCAGTCTGTGTATGTGTGTATGGACTCAGCAGTCTGTGTGTGTGTGTGTGTATTTACTCAGCAGTCTGTGAGTGTGTATGGACTCGGCAGTCTGTGTGTGCATGGACTCAGCAGTCTGTGTGTGTGTGTATATGTGTGTATGGACATATCAGTGTGTGTATGGACTCAGCAGTCTGTGTGTAGCTGTGTCATGTCTTGAACTCAGCAGTCTGTGTGTGGCAGCCAATGTATGTATGAACTCAGCACAGTCTGTGTGTGTGTGTGTATAAGGCTTCAGCAGTCTGTGTGTGTGTGTGTGTGTGTATGAACTCATCCAGCTCTGTGTGTGTGTGTATGTATGAACACCAACAGTGTGTGCCCATTCAACAGAATACTGTGTGTGTATGTGTATGTGGGCTTCCAGCAGTCTGTGTATGTGTATGTATTATGTATAGACTCAGCACGTCTGTGTGTGTGTGTGTCTCCCAAACTCCAGCACAGTGTCTGTGTGTGTGTGTGTATTATGTGTGTGCCCTGGAACTTTCCAGCAGTCTGTGTGTATGTATGTCTCAGCAGTCTGTGTGTGTGTATGAACTCAGCAGTCTGTGTGTATGTATGCTGTCTGTGTGTGTGTGTATGGCTCAGCAGTCTGTGTGTCTGTGTGTGTGTGTGTGTGTATGGACTCAGCAGTCTGTGTGTGTGTGTTTACGTGTTTACTCAGCAGTCTGTGAATGTGTATGGACTCGGCAGTCTGTGTGTGCATGGACTCAGCAGTCTGTGTGTGTGTGTATATGTGTGTATGGACATAGCAGTCTGTGTTTGTGTGTATGTGTGTGTATGGACATAGCAGTCTGTGTGTGTGTGTGTATTTACTCAGCAGTCTGTCTGTGTGTGTGTGTGTGTATGGACTCAGCAGTCTGTGTGTGTGTGTGTATGGACTCAGCAGTCTGTGTGTGTGTATGGACTCAGCAGAGTCTGTGTGTATGCACTCAGCAGTCTGTGTGTGTGT